AATCTTCCTTAGATAACGTTCTTTCGCCGGTTCTTTCCCTCTACTTCGGACTGTCGTCTAGTTTTACTTCACTCCTGATAGCAGCGCACAGAAGCCACCTTCACAGACAGACAGACAAAAATATTAATGTTCCATGATATTTAAATTCATTTCAAACTCTGATGGTGGTTAGTATAAGTGTGCATGCATATATCTAGCTATGTAAGCATCTGTCTGTCCTAACATGTGAAAAAACAAAAAAAAAGGCTTAATTCTGAAAGGTGTGGAGGCGTTTATTTTGCTGTGGCAGAGCGCCGCCATCAGTTACATCTAGAGGAGACCTTGAACGTCCTCATCTTCCTTGCTTTTTTCTTCAAGGCCCTGAGAGAAGAAGTGCAGAAATAGACCAGAGGAACAAGCTCATCACGGCGTACCATGAGTCTGGTCACGCCATCGTAGCGTACTACACCAAAGACGCCATGCCGATCAACAAGGCCACCATCATGCCCAGAGGCCCGAGTCTGGGACACGTAGGGGAATCCAGATCTAGTTTCTTCTTTTGAACTATGATGGGGTTTTTTATTAGCGTGATGTAAACATTTGACGGCCTCTCCGTCCTCCAGGTGTCCATGCTCCCAGAGAACGACAGGTGGAGCGAGACTCGCTCTCAGCTTCTGGCACAGATGGACGTCAGTATGGGCGGCCGTGTGGCAGAGGAGATTATTTTTGGCCACGAAAACATCACAACAGGTAGGAAACAGCCCCTTTAACAGGAGAAGGAAGTATAGAACATTGTTTACTAGGACTAGGAGATGGATAGATTTATAAATTAATCAATTTTTATTTTGCTTTTTGACTTAAATTTTTGGTAAATCTGGATTTTTTTTCTTCCATCAATGAACTCTTTGGGTTTCTGTACTTCAGAACGATATCAGCACCCCCAGGGCGGCCATCTTGTTTGACCAGTGCGTTTTACAGTGTCTATTTATTTGGACTTTGAATTCAAGTCAACTTTCTGTGTTAATTAGGAGAGTAAAGTCATAATTATACAAGAATATAATCGTAATGTTAGGAGAATTAAACAGTAATGCTACGAGAACTTCAACATGAAAAATAAAAATTAATTATCCGAGTTATTTTCTCAGTAAAACAACTTTCTTGTAATTTTAAGACTTAACTCTCGTAAAATCACATCTTTATTCTGCTAATATTATTAACATAACTGAGCAAAAATTTTCATAAGCTCTCATCCAACTCGCAGAAGGAACGTTTGAACTAAAATTCACTTTTTGAAAATGTTTTCTGTCATTTGTAATTTAGTTTTTAGAAAAGAAAGCAAAGGGAGGAAATGCATTGATTAAAGAGATTTAATTTTTATGCCATATCGCCCTAATGTTTAGCGTTGCTATGTTTCCATCTAATTGGCTTACGAATTTTGAGTACATTTTTTAAAATGTTGTCATTTTTTTCTTTTCTTTTAAAGAAAAAAAAATTTACTTAGGCGTTTCCTTCTGCTGGTTTGGAGCAAAGCAACCAGGCTACACAAAGCGTAATTTCGTCAGATGTTGACTTTTTGTTTTGCTGTAGCAATCAGGAGGTTGCAAACTAGCACGGAGCGCACATCTCAGAGAACCAGAGAGTTTTCCATGCCTCTGGTAAGGCACACAGCCTAGTGGATGGGAAAATTCGTTGATCTCAGAACCCATCGGGCCAATCTGTTCCCATCTCCCCTTTCGCGCATTAACTCAAGACGGCATCAAAACTTCTTCTCAAAATTGAGGAAGTTATGTCGAACTTTGCGGTTTCCAACAACCTTTTCTAATGCGACATTTCAAAATACGTTGACGTAAACGAGGTGTTGACGCTCCTCCTTTTTTAAGGCGCATCGAGCGACTTCGACAGCGCCACCAGGATCGCTAAGATGATGGTGACCAGATACGGGATGTGTGAGAAGGTAAGCCGAAAACTTTCAGCTGAAGGCAGAAAAACGTGGTGCTTGTTTGCGCTCTGACTCCGCTCCCCGTCTCTCAGTTGGGCGTGATGACCTACTCCGACCTGACAGCCCAAAGTCCGGAGACACGAGCTGCTGTGGAGCAAGAAGTCAGGGTTCTGCTAAAGGTCGACCTCGATTGTATCTACACATATGAACCTTCTCTGCTCCTGTAAGCCTTGTGTAACACCCGTTTTGTTTCTTTGTTTTGTTCAGGACTCCTACGAGCGTGCCAAATCCCTGCTGAAGTCTCACGCCAAGGAGCACAAGAACCTGGCCGACGCTCTGCTCATGTACGAGACGCTGGACGCCAAAGAGATTCAGCTGGTCCTGGAGGGCAAAACGCTGGAGACCAGATAGAACCAGCAGGAACACAGCCGGGGAACGAACAGGGGGAGGGAACGGGCAAATTTTAAAGAGAATTAAATCAGAGGCATCCATCCGTAGTGTCTCCTTTTTAAAAAGTGCTCCACTTTATATCCTCATGACTTCATGGAACCTCCCAAACAGTTTGCGCTGATTCTTAAAGCGGCGTCGTCGGCGGCAGCGTCGTGCGTTCCGATGCCAGCAGATCTTTTCCCTGTCCTTTTTGAGCCTCATGGTACCGATGTGTGGAGCGCCTTTAGATGGATAAATCTTTTATGGCAGGGTCATAATCTCACATTGAAATTTGTAGGGGAAGAAATATCAACTTCAATTGATTTGTACTTATTCTGTGGGAGGAAAATAATCAATATTAAATCATCAATGACATATTGGAGAGAGATCTTGGTACAGACTGTTTAGATCCTGGAGTGTCAGGGAGCCTTTTACAGCCCTATGAATTATTATTAAAGCTATTGATGTTTCTGTAGTTTAGATGTTTATTTGTATTATTTTAAGGGTAACATTTTTGCTGATGAAAGAGTTCTCAAAAACAGACGCAAATTATTGTCTATTAAGCGCAATTACTATTATTATTATTATTATTATTATTATTCCATAATAAATTAGATAAACATCAAGTCACGTAAACGGGGTAGAAACCAACCAGCCCAAAAGAAAACAGCCAGAAATTATGCTCCTTTTTTTTTTTTTTTATACAAAATTCAGACTTTTTTTTTTGTTTAAAATTTGTTTCTTTTTAGCGAGTTGATTTTGTTTGGGGAATTTTTCCTTTTCTCGCTTAAATAAATAGAACTCAAGGCAGGATTTTTTTAATTATTATTTTCAGCGTGAGATTATGCTGCTACTATAAAAGAGGAATCCAGTTTATTCGTTTATCCACGTCTGTCCTCACCTGTAATGATTCATGAATGTAACTAAAAGTGGATGAACCTTCATTTTTCCTAGAAGATGTCGTGGCGTTAATGCACTGGGAGGTGTCTCACACCAAGATTTTACTGTGATGGTAAAAATGATCGACTAATAACACAAAAACACGTTTCCATCTTAGTGTTTGAAGAGGCGCGTCATAAATATCCCCACTTCCTTCCTTTCTTCCTTCCTTCCTTTGCCCTCCACAGGAATCTGCTCCTCCATCGTAAAAACTGCCTTTTGGGTGATGGCGTAACGAGGCTTTTTTTTTAATTTTACGTCAGTGCATTACTGTCTGTGCACTTTATTTTCTCATGTTAAAGTCAAAACCATCCTTATTTATTTCGTTTTTGGCTTTTGGAAAGCCTCCGAGTGAAACACTTAGTCTCCTTGTAATTACAGACGTGAAGTGAAGATGAACCAAAAGGCCCATTTTGCGTCTCTCTTCTTCTTGTCTGCGTTCAAATCTCCTGCCTACATTTCATTTTTTCTCTTTGTAAGCTAAGATTTCTTCAGTCGGAGAAGTGACTCTTCACCAGTGAAGAAATGTGTCAGGCTGGCTAAAGCTGAACCAGGAAGCAAACGTCCTAGACTCTGGAAATGTTTGGACATTTTTAATTTATCGTGGCATACGCAAAGTCTAGAGCAGTCCATTATTTAAATCTATACCATAATCAACAGAGTTAGCAATATTTTCTTGACGTTGGCCTCAGTTTTACACGTTCTCTTGTTTCTTGATCTCTTAGCTTTGGTTGGCATGTACATATGACTCGGTGGGAAACCTGTATATAAATGTATAGGAATGCTTTTATGCTGTGTACTCTCTGGAAGGCTCCCCACTGTAGATCGCTTTCATAGTGTGATAAAGATTGATTATGTGCAGCAGAAATAAACAAACTCCAAATAAAATCTTAAAAATAAAAAAATGGAAAGTGGCCGATTTCTTCTTCTAAAACCATAGCAAATTTTTTTTGGTTCAGTGAAAAAAATCCTTACGTTTGCTGTTTTATGACCAGAACAAAAATGATTAAAAAAAATCAATTACAATAATCAATTACTATAATCTGGATTGTCTTTCTCTGATAAGCTTTCTTTTTTCTTTGTTTTTTTATTTTATTGGATGCATACGTTTCAAAAAGTTTCACTTTTACCTCATTTAGTCCAGAGATGATTTTCCAATAAAGTTTATGGTATCGTCCATAAATGTGAGATGCCTTTGGAAGCATTTTTTGGTCAATGGAGGTTTTGACTTTGCATCCCCATTAATTCATTTAGAAATGTCACTGTTCTAAAATAAACATTTAATTTGCAAACTAGATGTTTAGTTAGTAAGCTAAATATCTAGCCAACGCCAACAAACCAAACATCTAGCTCCACACTTAATATTTGGTTAGCGAGCTCAACATTTAGTATGGAGAAGAATAAACTTGCTCATTGCTATCAATTTCAGACCGTGTAACTTTACAAACGGCACTCCGTACTTTCTGATCTGCGTGTATTTGAGCCTGTTGACTTTCATGACTGATTTTGACCCCTGACCTAACCAGAATAATTTTGAACGAGTTAATTATAATAGAACAAAAATAATTTGTTGGATTCTTGAAACAAAAAAAAAAAAAGAGGGAGATCGTTTTAAATATTATTTGCCAATGCGGAAACAAAGAGACTGTCGGTATTAAACAGGTGAATTATTTTTTTGTATTAAAACTGAGTCCTCGTGAACGTCAACGACGTGACGCGCGTCGCAGCAGATTAGGCGGAAGTCGCGCGGCCAGCAGGCAGCTGTCATCGTAGCCGATAGCCGCCTGCTGCTGCAAACAACAAGTTCAGCATTTGTCGCTCAAAGCGTCTGCACCTGGAGGTCCGCTTATAGCCAACCTGGGCAACATGGACGAGGACGTGCTGACCACCCTGAAGCTGCTGATAATTGGAGAAAGCGGAGTGGGGAAGTCCAGGTTTGTGTCTATGCTAGCAGCTGCTAGCCTCTTGTTGATGTTGACATTATCCTCGTCGTTACGTAAGTTTATTCTTCTCTGCTCAACAGCTGCTGGTTAGTGCTAATGTCATTGTTTTATGTTTACTACTTGTTTAACACAAAGTGAAAGTTGCTAAAAAAAACGTAGTACTTATTGACTTTGTTACGTAAACATTTCACAAGCAGCTGGGAAAGTTTTGTTTTGTTTTCGCTCTGAAGGAATGATGCTGCACATTCGGTACCAGAAATGTATTGTTATTTTGTTGTCGTTTTATTATGTTCCTGGCAGAAAGCTAGCTTTATGAGTTCAACCCCACAATATCCTGCTGAATGTTCATTTCCAATGTGTCCTTGTTTCCCCTTACAGCCTCCTCCTGAGGTTCACAGAAGACACTTTTGACCCAGAGCAGTCAGCCACAATAGGTTCTATTCCAGTCATAAATACACTCTTAAATGCCGATGTAGAATACAGAAACTGTTTCATGTCGGAAATATTTCTCTTAAATCCAGTTTCTCGTTTGTTTGTCGTGTTTCTTAAGGTGTGGACTTCAAAGTAAAGACCCTAGCAATTGAAGGAAACAAAGCAAAGCTAGCCATTTGGGTGAGTCTTCCTGACCTCCATCCTCACCCACATTCACAACCGCTGCAATACAGTTAGGAAACAAACATGGTGAAGTTGAACGTTTCCTCCACACGGTGGCGACATTGCTCAGCAGTAAATACTATTGAGGAACAACAGCTGTTGTTGAGCTGAAGCTCTGCGGCCTGGGGTCACAGTAAGAGTCGAAGCGCCTTTTAACAACGAAATTAGAAACTAATCCTTATTCAGAAGGTTAAATGTTTGCTGGTTTTTTTTTCTCCCCACAACAGGCCAAAATGTCCCAAGGACTACAAAGGGATCCCTTTGTGGACTTATAAAGACTGTTAAAGCAATGATCAGTTTATTAAAGGGTCATTTCTGAGACTTCTAGCAGTAAATGGGGACGTAGTCATTGAGATTAGCAGTGCATTGTACTAAGTGGTGGAAAGTGTCACTCTGAAGTCTGGTGTGTTTTCTTTTTAAGGACACTGCTGGACAGGAGAGGTTTCGCACGCTGACACCCAGCTACTACCGCGGTGCGCAGGGAGTCATACTCGGTAAATGGCTGATACTTTTCAAGTCAAACTACCCCTACCTTCTCGCTTTCTTTTTTTTTACCCCCTCCATTCACTGCACTTATACTTGTTTACCTCGTGTTTTGGTTATAATATTTTGCTTTAACTTTGCACACACTGCCTTCCGTTAAATCTTAAGACTCCTTGAACCTTCCCAATCCAAAAATCCATTTATACCCCCAGTACAGCTAAATAAAATTCATCTAATTACATGATCTTTTGAACAAGGAAATTATTTTATTTTTAAGTTATGTACTATAGAAAGCTTTTTTTTTTTTTTTTAAAGAACCATCATTTTATTTCTAGTTTTAGGTTTTATAATAAAGAGAAATTTCTTCCAGATTTACCTGGAAGGAAATAGATTTTTTTTTCCTAATCAATTTTGGGGAAAATTTTTCATTATTTTACAGTGTAACGCTTCTTTAAACTTCTCCACAACTTTCTCCCTGACTTGTCTGCTGTGCTCCTCTGTCGTCTTGATGCTGTTTATTCACTAATGTTCCCTAATAACAAACCTCTGAGGCCTTAACAGGACGGCTGGATTTATACTAAAATAAAAACGCATAGAAAAACCTGTGGTTATTCTTTTGGTTTAGCTCATAAAATTCTGATTTTATATATTTTGAAATGTACAATACAACAGAACAGAACCTGAAGAAAATTCCCCAAACCTCAGATCAAAGGTTTTTAAGTTGCACTAGTGAAGTTAGATCTCAACCATTTTTACACCAGCATAAGTCAACACAACTACAGACGCAGCGATGCGAAAATTTGGACCGATATTTACAGAAAAAAGACCACACCGCTTAGTCTGCCTATCTGCTTCAGTTCAAATCCAATCAACAACAATGTTGGATCTGACGTATCAATGACTAATCACAACGCGCTGTATTTTCGTGTGTTTTTGTCAGTATATGATGTCACACGGCGCGACTCTTTCACGAAGCTCGAAAACTGGTTGAACGAACTGGAAACTTACTCGACGCGCAACGACATTGTCAAAATGCTGGTCGGCAACAAAATCGATAAGGTGAGTCACTTCCTGGAGTTCTGACATGTACAACGTGTGACTGATCCTAATGCTAAAAACAGACATTTTAAGTTTTAATTTGACTGTTTTCATAAATGCAGGACGACTTACATTATTGTTCTTTGGTCAAAACAAAAAAAAAATGAGCAGTGAAATATCTGTTTTATACATTTTGTGCTGCTCTGCTGCTGCCGGTCTGGATTTTGCTGTGCGTGTGCGGCGTGGAGTAGTTCTTTTATGGTTCTTAAACATCTGATGTGGTTTCAGGATGACCGTGAAGTGGACAGAAATGAAGGACTGAAATTTGCCAGGAAACACTCGATGCTTTTTATTGGTAAGCACTGCCGTAAGTGTGGAATCAGATGTTGTCGGTCATGTTCGTTTACAGTGAGAAAGCCGTAAAGTCCCAGCCGGCGCCAATAAAACTCTTCAAATTGTATTTAAAAGTTACAGCTGTCATTAAATGTCACAGAGGAAGTCATGCACACGGCTCAGATTAGCTGGGCTGGTTTTACAGCGCTTTGCTCACAACAAGAAATCGAGGGATGCAGACAACCAAGAAAAAAAAAATTGCGTTATTATTGAAACTTAAATGCTTTAAGAGACCAAATCCATGTCAGCATCTGGTCCTGACTTCCACTTTTTCATCAACGTATCTAGAATTTGTTTTAGAAAACGTGAATGAAGAAGTTTAAAGGCAAAATTACAAGATGTGATGGATTTAATCTGCTCTTTATTCTAATTGCCATTTCCTATCTAGAGATGCACTATTTAAAGGGTTCCCTGGACATTTATGACTTGTTGATCCAGATTTTTTTGAAGAAGAAGAAGAATTGAAATTGAAAAGTGAAATATCTAAACAATAATATTTTCATATTAAAATAAAAGGAATGATTTCTCAAAAACAGTCCTGAAGTTACAGAACTGGCACAAATTCAGAAAAATCCTTCCAGTTATTGTATTGAAATAGAAATGGACCGATTTCTCCTGGCTGATACCGATTTCTTAGTCCTGATGTGAAGAATTTGACATGAACTAGGGATGCACAATATATTGGCATCAACGTCAGTATCGGTAACTTTTTACATATCGGTATTGGTCCGATGAGCAAAACTGAGCCGATTAACGACAAATGTTTTTTTCCATCTTGTTGCTGTTTGTGTTCGAACACTGCAGTTTTGCACAATGATGCAGCAAAAGATTATGGGGTTTTTAATTGAAACAGAAAGGCTTTCACACCAATCACATGAAGAAGTGTGATTTGTGTCACTAAACTGCACACAGTAACTGCATTTAATCATTTGTTTTCAAATTTCTGAATACTCTTTTTGAACAAACAGTGGAGGAAATAATAAAGAACAGTTCGTTTTTTTAAACAACATTAATTGGAATTTATCGCAACAACAATAAATCAAAGTTCTTGTCACGACAAGAAATGTATCGTGATAAACGATACAATAAAGGCTCACCGAGAAGCAGTGTTACAGTTTTTACATTTTTAGACCCACAGTGACATTTGTGTCATTGTTGTTTTTTGTCTTCTGAAGCACTTTTACCTCCCTGATCACATTAATCCCCTCTGTGTTCAGAGGCCAGTGCTAAGACCAAAGATGGCGTCCAGTGTGCCTTTGAGGAGCTAGTGGAGAAGATCCTCCAGACTCCGGGACTCTGGGAGAGCGACAACCAAGGTCAGAAGGTCCAGCTGGGGCAGCAGGAGCAGGACAGGGGACGGGCGTGTGGCGGATACTGCTCCATACCCTGAAACCGACAGAAACGGCGACCTGACGGGGAAACGATACGGACCAGAGAAACGGAACTAAAGAGGGGCGGAAGAAGAAAAGGAAGTTAATTGTTGGGAGCTCCGTCATCTAAGCGAACACTGCAGTTTTGCACAATTACTGTTCAAACATCGTCACTTATTTGACTCATCATGTTTCGTTAGCGAGCGCATCAATCAGAGGTGGAATGGTGTTTTCAGATAAAACGAGACGTGCCCAGGGCGTCGCAGCAGTACTCCTCTGGGGCGGATCTCCATCATTGGCAACAGTTCGGTTCGGCATTACTTTACCAGGATCGTGCCTGTTACATCATCAGATTTTAGGTGGAGCTTCAGGTTTTATTCTGAATATTTAATCCTAAACAATAAAAAAAACTTAAATATCCTAGTCTATGTCCGATTCCCTTCAGATTCCCGACTTTATTACTACACCTCAGCACTGTGAATTATCCCAAATGATTCATCAAACAGTGGAGCCCAGTTACTGACAGTTTTTTTTTTTTTTTGCCTCTGTCTTTACACTCCTGCCTCCCCATCGTTACTTTTTCCTACAAAATATTCCCACTTATTGTTGTCCAGCTTAATTCCATCTCTAGTGAGTTTTAGCTTTGCAGTGCTTCCTTTGCAATTATCATTTAACCATATAATGAGAACATTCCCAAGCACTTTTCCCCCTCCCATTATGTTTTTGAATCCCAGCTTTAATTAATACTTTATTATTCCTAGTTACTGTTACCTGGGAGAAGGAATTAATTTTTTTTTTTTTTTTTTTTTTTTTGTTGCTTGGTTGTGCTTTTCAGTCATGTACTGTCACACGTTGACCTGAGACCTGCCTTAACACTAAGAGAGCTGCAGTCGAGTAGCATTTGATTTGTTTTGAACTTAAATAAATAGAAACCTGAAGATGGGATCTCTCGGCTCCAATAATTGTTTGTTTGCTGTTTGATAACTGGCGTAGTTATTTTGTTGACTGGATGTGAGAAAGAAATATTTCTTAGAAAAAAAATTAAATTATTCACCCCAACGCCCTTCCCGCCCCCCCCCCCAAAAAAAATCTGCAGAGCAAAAGTAGCACACATTGAAAATCCAAGATGGATGATTAAAAAAATAATAATAATTCAGAAATACTTGTAGCAGTGGAGAAGTAACATGTTTTCAATGTTTCCAATGCAGTCTGGAAAAGTATGGAAGTATTTTCCAAGTTGGGATAGGAATGGATAAAACTGAGTTTGGAAAAATGTATCAACAGACTATTTTCCTTATCCCACTGTCTAAAAGTGATATCTGTCCATATATACTGTTTAATATAGTTTATATTAAACAGTCCTGCACATTTAAAACACTGAAATAAAAAAAAACATGAGAAAATATCAAAGGGAAGCATAAGATGAGAAATTTCAGTCAGAAATAGCTAAATTACAGAAATGACAACTCTTATTAACTCTTATTGTAAGAGTTTAGCAAAACTGCGATGAAAACCCTTTTTTTATTCCGAGTCACGTGATCAACAGCCGGATGTTCTAGTGGCAAAAACAACGAAGAACAGCAGCGGTCAGTGTCTGCCAGTTTTCATCCCAATTGATTCTCTCTGACCTCTGTGCCTCCAGGAGCCGTGTTCGGACTCCTCTTGGTATCCCTTTTTTTTTTTTTTTTTCCACGGTGCATTTTCAAAATGAAAGGCCATAAAGCACATGAAACCTACCACTAACTACAGCTCCGTGGAACATAATTAGGTTGTCTCAGCCCCTGTAAAGTAATGATTTAAAGCAGAAAAAAAAAGCCAGGCCAGACTCTTTCACATTGGCTTTATTCAAACGGCTGCTGTAAAACTTCATCATGGGAGGATTCTCCGGTGTCCTGACAGTTCTTATAAGTTATGGAAAACGAGGGTGACGCAGGGCGTAGCAAAGCAAGCAGACATTATTTGGATTCACTCTTCTGGGTACTAATTAGATGTTACAGTATATAACATAATTAGAAAGGTGTAAAACGTTAGGCCTGTACACTGTGTACACTACAAGGCACTCTTGGCTGGCGGCGAGTGGAACACGGCGTTCAGTGCCTACCCGGTGTTTGCCAGGGGGGCTTTGACAGTCTGGACCTCGGAGATGTGAGACGATTTCTGGATGATGCGGCTGGTGAGGGCGGCCCCGGCGCTCTGCTTCAGGGCCGTCACGGCTCCCGTCACACACAGCCTCCCCGTGAGGCTGGCTTTCGCTACGTTGAAGGGCTCCGCGGTGCAGCTCTGCCCCGTGGCGGCGCCGGGTGTCGGGTCAGCCCTCTGCGCCGCCTTGCAGCTCTTGCCCTGGGCCAGGCTGGTGAGAGCCACGGCGGCGTGGATTTCCCTCCAGCCCTGGCCGTCTTTTCTCGGTGGGTTTCGGCTTTGCAGCTGGCCCCTGTGAACAAACAGCCAGTGAGTCCAGATGAGTTAGAGCTGCCAGGTGAGGTTGTACTTTTTTCGCGCCACTTGTCATAAAAACAAAAATAAAAAATTATTGCAGCAGAAGCAGCATTGAGGAAAATGATATTTTTAATTTTAGCACCTTTATTCAGCTGTAGCCAAAGCTTCTTTTTTTTTTCTTTCATTTTTTATGTTGCTGTTTTAATTTCATGTGTGTTTCTAGAAAAATTTTTTTGCTCTCACTGCAAAAACACAAAATCTTACCAAGTATTTTTAGTCTAGTTCCTAGTGCAAATATCTAAAGCACACTTGAAGACAAAACCAACTTACAAGCAACTTTTCAGAAACATATGGGAGCTTGTTTCAACATTTAAGTAAAAAATGAATCTCTCTATTTTGACCCAAAAAAAAGACTAATTCCACTGGCAGATTTCACTCACAACGTTAGAAATACATTTGATCAGTAATTCTTATAACACTTTACACAACCACAGTATGGGAGACCAAAAATTCTTGACAGGGTCAAAAACAACGTGAAAAACAGACATAGCAACAAGTAAATGAATAATAAAAAGAAAACGCAGCAAAGCAAACCAGAACAAGCCAAATAAAACCAGAAGTGTCACTACATATTTAAAGCTGCAGTATGGAACCTTTATAAAAATATGTTTTTATATATTTGTTATATCTATCACCATGTCATAACATGAGACAGATAATCTGTGAATAGATTAATCTCCTCCACCTTCTCTCTGAGCTACTTTTGCCGTCTGAAGAAATACAACGACCAAAAACAACCAATCAGAACCAGGAGGAGGGTCTTAGTGCTGTCAATCAACTTGTGTATGCGCTGCTCAATGCGCTAAAGGCAGAAAAACAACTTAGAGCTTATCCGCTTATCTCTATTAGCCGTGGCTTTGCTAACTAGCCTTAGCATTCACAACAGGATCTGCTGACAGAGTAAAACTGCAGCATAGCAGAGAGCAAGTGGAGGAGGGGGAGCAGCGCCAGACGAAAGGAGATGGACACCGCTAAGACCTGCCCCCTGGCTCTGATTGGCTGATTCTCATTAGCACTACAAGCAGGAAGAGGAGTTAATTTTTTTTCACAGATTTTCTGTCTCATATAATTCTGTCACAATATAGTGACAGTTTCAAAAAAAGCATAGGAATATATATATAATTTTTTTTTTTTTTGACAAAGTTACATTCAAGGCTCTGAGAAATGATGATGATGAAGGCCATTGAAGGATGTAAAAACACAAAAGCTTGAAATCTCTTCAAACATCTATATTATATATGACATAAGCTGCCATCAATATTAAGGTATTATTATTGACTTAAAAACAAACTCATATCTCTTGCTGTAAAGTTGTTTGTAGGTTTTGTCTTATTCAAAGTGTACTGAGGTACTTGCACTCAGAACAAGACCAGAAATACTCGGTGAGATGTCGTGTTTTTGTAGTGTAATCCGTAATCCGCAACTTTCCGTTCTCATGGACTATAAATATGATGAGAGGCCGTTCTTCTTTTTCTTTTCTTTTCTTTTTTTTTTTTTTTTTACCAACTGACCACTAGATTGAGCGAAGAGCCATATTTATCTTGCCATCACATGTGGTGAGCAACATGATGAAGGAGGTAATAAAACATTTCCAAACCCTACAGCTACAGAACTACAGCGAAAAAAATGACGACATAGCAAGTCTTGATAAGAACTGTTGGACCCTTTCCATGATGGAGTCGCATTTTGTAGACTTTTAGTTCATAATTTTTTCGACTGAGGCGTTGCATGTTTGGGTAGATATTCTGTCTGGTTTTGGGATTACTCCTCTTACTTTTTGAACTTTTGGACGGTTTGTTATGCTGCGTAACCGTGGCAAAAAAGCCATTATTTTTGCATCCAGGAGCAGCTGGTTAGCATCTCGAAAGCTCTAATAAAACCTGAACTGCAAACCAAAATCCCAGAGGACTTGGAACCAAAAGGCTTCGTGGATGAAAAGCAGGTCCAAAGAGAAGAGAGAAAAGAATATAATATTCACTATTATTATTATTACTGCCTGACTTTCTAAGCACACGGCCAGGCAGAGATTTAAATTGGAGCGCCAAATGCAAACCAGCTGGATTAGCAGTGCTCACCAACAACTGATGGTGTCATCCATGCGATGTCGACTGCGAACTATCGATAAGATATTAGCATCTCATGGAAGTTATGAGACAAAATGCAACAGTCTTCAATCAGAGGCATCTTCAGATGTGTTGTAAAGCTGACTGCTACAGGAGATCCGTCTTTCCCGCAGCAGCACATAATGAGTTTTGACAACATCTGATTTCCTTTGTGATAAGTAAAGCATGCTTGAGCTGAATTTGAGTCAAACAGAAACGGCGTCCTTCCAACACAAACACAGACATGTGGACTTTGCTAAACTGTACCTGGACTTTAACAGTCCGGTTCAGTCAGATGAGACCGAGCTGGAGCTTAATGGTAACAAACTCCAGGTGGGTTTGATGTGAAACAGAGGATGAACATGGGGAAAATTATTTCATGCCCGCTGTTGAGCAGAGTGGAAAATATGTGATTCTGTTGGCCTTTTTCTCCTCCACATTCACCGAGAGCCTGGAAGCCCGAAATACAATCACGTCGTAAACAAATGCCAAGGACTGGTAGCCTCTAACGGGTTGTCACCATGCGTTCATTGACAATAACCACCCAAAGCATGTAACGGCCAAAACGACTTGGAAATGTTACAAGAAACACATAATCAACTTTCTTCAAATTCAATATTTGTCTCAGTCCCTCGGATCCCCCAGGACTCTGGACAATCTAAAGAGACTTTGCAAAAATCACTTCCTTACAAAAGTATATTTTTAAGTATCGACACCAGAGATGTCAAAAACTGTAACTCTGCCTTCAGGGAGTCATAACATCACTCCTGTATTCACCCTTTAACAACGTTTTTTGGGTGGAGCCTGCTCTGTGAGGCCGAAGCTTGGAAACTTCAGCTCAGAGGTGGAGCTTTGTCCTTGAGGGCGGGGCTAGGTCCACCCAGACATTTTACACAGCTGAATGGTTGCCATGGAGATGAAAGGATTTCTTAAACATGCATAAAAGAATAAACTGATGAGGGAAAAACATTATAACATGATGTAAAAAAAAATGCTGCCCCTTTAACACTGAATCAGTCGACCTACTCAAAGTTAAGGTTTAACTTTGCTAAAATTAGCAGTAAGGTTATGCTTCTGCAATAAAAGAGGAATTTATTTTGAAAGATCTTCGACACTGGAAGCAGAGGTTGTTTTTTTTTAAGTGCGAAAAAGTACAAGCTGCATTGACAGGGTTATGAGATATGAATAATGGTACTAACCTGCAACTTTTAACTGAAGTGTTGTCAGTTGTATCTGTAAAAGAGCAAAAAACATGGAAAACTTAGCAAATGTACCACAAACCTGCTTACCAGATTATTAGGCTGTCGTATGCTTGTTGCAAAAACTGGTTCAATTTTCTGCATGTGTCCAAGCAATTGATCGAATGTTTGGTGCAAATTCTTTCAGTATGTGTTCAAGCTTTTGTTAAACACTGGAATGTAATTCTCCTCCCTCCTTTCAAATATTCAGTCGTTTGTCTCTAAAGTTCGTGGTTTGCAGGTCTTTATCTCAGCTCAAGCACAAGCACTAACGGGTAGGAAACATTTCAGAAATCAATGCTGGATGCCTTGCCTGTGTCTCCTGAATAACTAAGGATCAGTTGTTCTCCAAAGGGGCTTCAAAGATTTTTTTTTTATGAGCACAGACGAGAGGAAAAGAAAAGAGAGAGAGAGAGAGACCATAACTAATGCTACATTGATTCTAGCCTACAATTTCTGTTCGTGGTCTGTGCGTACATGTGCGATATTTGTAGAATATATTTTCCATCTTTGCTTTGGATTACAGCCTTATTTTAGGTTTGAGCACATAGATAGGGGCCAAAACCGATTTTTCTTCAGAGTCCAATAGAAAAAGAAATTAGATGCTGAAACTAAGCCTTTCGGCGCTAACAGTCTGAAACATACCGCAAACCTGAGCCAAAAGTAACTTCTTGCTGATAGTAAATCACTTTTGTGTGTTATGCTTTTTTGCTTTGCTACTGAACATCCCTCACCATGTCCCTCCTAAGCCATAAAGTGCCCCTGCCAAGAAAGTAGCTCCGTACCTCTGCTGTATTTATGGCCAGGGGGAAAAAACTTAGTTTTACCTCTGGTGAGTTTCACTATGCGAGAGGGGATTAGTGACAACTTAATTTTAGAAGTTAGCAATGAATCCAATCAGTGCTTTGTTTCCAGTGGGTTATACAGCTTAATCAATATGAAAATGTGAGTGCAATAGATCATGGCTTCGTGCTCATAAAGCTGCAGTCTGGCGCACAAGTAGCAAATATCTGTTTCACTTCTTCTGGTTTTGGAAATATAAACGTTTTGCGCACCTGTTCCGCTTCCACTGCCACAAACGGCAATTTACCTGCTACTGCTTTTGGTAACACTTTATTTGAAGGGGGGTGCATAAGACTGACATGACACTGTCATAAACATGACATAACATCTGTCATGAACATAAACGAGTCTTTATGAATGTTTATGACAGTTGCTATGACATGTCATTCGGTAAATAATGACACTTCATGACAACAGTCATAAACATTCATAAAGACTTCTTTATGTTCATAACAGGTGTTATGTCATGTTTATGACAGTGTCATGTCAGTCTTATTCACACCCCTTCAACTAAAGTGTTACCCAGCTTTTTTAATACATAAACTCACAAACAAATTAAGAATTAAGAAAATATGTATCTGCCTGATGTTTGTCTGTGTTTTGTAAAAAAAAAAAAAAAAAAAAACCAAAAAAGAAACCAAAAAAAAAAAGGGTCTTAAAAAAA